TCTCCTCTCCTCTCCTCTCCTCTCCTCTCCCCTCCCCTCCCCTCCTCTCCTCTCCTCTCCTCTCTCTCCTCTCCTCAAATACAACCAATCATCAAGACAGAGACTTCATGTAAATGTACTAAAACGACAATGTAAAATTACTTTATTACAAGTAAAAGTTGGAGGATGTTCAATTCTAAAAACCCCGTGTCACTTTCAGTTCCAAGAGGAGGCAACAATTTCTGTCAGGTTCAGACAATGAACGCTTCAATCAAACATGTGGCCACCCACAATTACATCAGAACCCTGTGTTCACAGAAATCCCTCTACGCTTCATCTAGTCCAGGTTTGTCTTCCATAGCATCAACATGCTCCAAAATAATCTCCTGGATGATTTGAGTTTTATTAATTTAATCACAAAAATAATGACAATTTGCTCCGTTGGGGGAACTGTGTGTGTGTGTGTGTTCAGAGAATATGACCATCTACTACTACAAGTCAACCGGGTCTTTCAGAGGAATGCCAGTAGTTCTAAACATCACCGGCTCCAACTGCTTCCTCAGGTGCACCAAGGAGGGAGAGAGGGTGTTTCTGGAAGTGGAGGTAACAGCAAGCAATGATAATAAAGTTCTTTGTATGGACACAATTAAATATATATATTGTAAATATACACAGGCAGACAATTTACCCAGACTTGATCCTAAAGATATTAAATATCATAAAATATTCTTGAAAATTTCATGGAATATTTCAGTCTGGACCGTACTCTGTGTTAAGAGAATGACAGCTGAGATTGAATATTTTGGTTTCATGTCTGAGTAGTTAGAATAACCGACATTTAACATTTTCAGGATAGAGTAAAGTGATGTTCAAAGGACATTTTTTGTTTGTTTTAAATGTATTTTTAGTTGATTAAGTTTATTTGGACAATTCTGATACATCCACACTTTTGTCGTTGTAGATGTGCGAAAAACCGACACTGAGACGGATTTCCATGAACGATGAGAGCAAACTGTCCTTCCTCTTCTACATGAGTTCTGACCGGACAGCTTACACCAAGTTTGAGTCTGCGCTGCACCTAGGATGGTTCATTCAAATTGTCAACCCAGACTCAGCAGTGAGAATGGAAACCATGGATGGATGCGAGCAGGACCACACATTCGTCTTCATCATTCAGCAATGATGGGGACGTCTCTGTCTTCTCAGTCAAAACATTGACATTATTCTTTTTACTTGTGTTTTATTGTTTCTTTGTGGATGTAAAAGTTCTGCAAAGTCAAAACGCCCAAAGTCTGCATAAACAGGAGCTCACACAGATAACCCTGCTGAAGCTGAAGCTGGAAGCTCCTGAAGCTCCTGAAGCTCCTGAAGCTCCTGAAGCAACTGAAGCAACTGAAGCTCCTGAAGCACCTGAAGCTCCTGAAGCAACTGAAGCACCTGAAGCTCCTGAAGCAACTGAAGCTCCTGAAGCTCCTGAAGCTCCTGAAGCGTCTCGTCACTGGTCCACATCATCATGTCATATGACATCATGATATCCAACATTTGCATAATCCCTGTTTAGAGGCTAGTCTGACACGCCCCCTCACAAAGCCAGGCAAAACTAGGGCAGAGGCCGACATTTCCTGTACGCTCAGAAAGTGGTTGACCAATCACAACAGAGTGGGCTAAATCAGGAAGGGGGGGGGGCCTTAAAGAGACAGCAGCTAAAACCAAGTGTTTCAGACAGAGGCTGAAAGGAGGAGCTGCAGCAATGGACAGTTTGAGGAAAGTGAACATTAGAGCGAGAACTAACTCATATTAAATATATATATCAGCATAATATGCCTCCTTTAAACATACAAAATCATCTCGTGAAAAACATTTGAGGAGCTCTGGTTTGATCCACTGGTCCAATAACAGAAGCAAATGTCACTGTGTGAAATTCTGTAATTGCAGAAGTGAGCAGCTATGAATCATACAATGAAGTGAAGTTGAAAAGAAACAGTGTAATTGTGTGTGTGGTCCAGACTTCAACAAGACTTTTGGTTGTAGGGCAGTGTGTTGTTTTAAGTTAACTTTTTGTGTATCTAAAA